TAAATAAGTAGGTCTTAGAGAAGAGAAGGTAATATAATTCAATCATTAACCCAAGGAAGTCTTCCAAACACTTTTTTCCATGCTACCAGATAGCAACTTAACCATCCATATTTCTGACTAATAGTTTCGGAGCTGGGAGTGACTTGAAAAGGCCCGACTTGTAAGTAAGCCACGTGGTTATTTGGTAGAACTACAGACAAACACGATCCAACAGATAAACTATTAGTTTGTTCATATAATTTAACGTTAAAGGTAGCATATACACTATCTATTATTAAGCTCGCCCATCTAGTGAATGACTCCTTGCTTATCTTACCTCATAATTATAAAATAAATTAAAAAGAAAAGATCTAAGCCGTTAATAGAAGTAAATGATCTGTTGTATTAATTAAATTTGGCGAGCAGAAAATAATCTTAAAATATTTCAATAATTTAAATGCAAATATAGTTTATAATGACTAGAGTTATATCAATTCACCACATCTCATATGAAGCCAAAATATATCATATCGTGTAATTCCATCAGAGCCCATCCAATTTCTATACCTTTCATACTTCTTCATCTAAGCTCATGTGATCTTATGTTATTAAGCATAATTTGATCGTATAGCATTTCTGCTCATTTCAGTTCATTTCATCTCTTCTTGTCGTTTTGCCTCTGTTCCTTTCTTCATTTACACTTTTTCTAAAATTTGCCTCTATCAATGTACAATTACTTCCCTTCACTTGTCGCATTCCTCTTTTAGGAGTTCCGCAAACCGCGTTCGTCTACGCGATGATCAGTGCCGGCATCGTCCAAGCCGTGGCCGAAGCATGTCTGACGCACATCGTCGATTGTCCCTGCGACAACAGAGGTCGCGAAAAGTCCAGCGCCGAAGACTGGCAATGGCAGGGCTGCGACCATAACGTGCAATACGGTCGCCAATTTTCTCGTCGTCTCCTCGACGCCATGGAGAAGGGATGGCACGTCCGCTTCATGATGAACCTGCACAACAACGCCGCCGGTCGACGTGTAAGTATCCATTCAAGTGGCATTTGTGTGTGTGTGTGCAGATTGAAATTGACGCTAATTATCCCATCTTCTGGTCGGAATTGCTAATCCAGTTTGCAGAATATATTCCAGGAGTTTTACACTACCATTCGGTAATCACCTTAAACGAAATAGGGTGAATACATCTCATATTACTGATTTACTGATAGTCGTAAAAGTCTACTTAAATACGAACAATAAGTAACGTGATGGGTTTTTATAGCAAAAATACGTTTGAATAGAAGTTGTTTGACCTTGTTTTCGCAACTCGGTCATGTTGGTAGGAAGACTTAAAGAAACGCA